TCTGCCGGTGCCCCTCACTCCCGACCCGCAGCCCCTGCTAGCCCAGCCCTGCCCCCCAGCTCTGCCGGTGCCCCTCACTCCCGACCCGCAGCCCCTGCTAGCCCAGCCCTGCCCCCCAGCTCTGCCGGTGCCCCTCACTCCCGACCCGCAGCCCCTGCTAGCCCAGCCCTGCCCCCCAGCTCTGCCGGTGCCCCTCACTCCCGACCTGCAGCCCCTGCCAGCCCAGCCCTGCCCCCTCACTCTGCCGGTGCCCCTCACTCCTCCCCGCAGCCCCTCCCCGCACCTTGCTGAGCAGCTCCTCCTGGTCGGTTTTGACCCCGAAGCGGGGGATGCTGGAGTTGGTCAGGCCTGAGCTGGGCATGAGTTTCTTCACGCCGCTGATCTGGCACATGGGCTGCTGCTTCTTCTTCTTGTCCCGCTCCTTCTGCGTGGGGGGCGGGATCTCCACCTCGTTCTGCTTGTCTGGGGGGGGAGCGGCCGGTCAGTGGGGGAGGGGCTGTGCCACGGGGGCATGCAAGAGTGAGCGTGCAGCAGTCAGTGTGAGCGCACGGATCTGAGTGTGACTGGGTGTGTGCCGGAGACTGGGCCAATGTGCGTGGGGGGGGGATGTGTGCAAACCACCCCTCCCCCTGCTGCCCTCGGGGTGCGTCCCCTCCCACCACAGTCCTATCCCGGGGAGGCTGGTGCCCACGCTGCTGACGTCAGGTCCTGGGGTCCAGCCCCCCGGGGGCCGGACTCAGAGCCCCCGGTCGGGCTGGGCCCGGCAGGGAGACAGGCGCCCCCCCCCCCGGTGGTGGCAGTGCAGGGTGTGGGGGGGTCACTCCGGGCAGCAGGACGCGGGGGGTCTGGGAACCAGGGTGCAACCCCCCCCCCAGCACCTGCAGAGAAGAGGGCGGAACGAGGCATCATGGCAGCATAGGGGGTGGGGGGCCCCCCCAAGACATGGGCCCCTGGAGGGGACTCAGGCAGTGGGGAGGAGGGCAGCATTGTGACATCACAGGGCACCCAGCCAATCCGAACGCAGAGGACTCCGTATGATACACGTGGCAACAGTGACCCAGAGCCCCTCTGGCCCCCCCACAGCCTAGCTCCCCGGAGCCCCCTCCAGAGCCCACCCCCACAGCCCAACCCCCTGGAGTCCCCCCCGGTCTCCCCACAGCAACTGGGCCCCGCTCCCCTCCCTGGCTCCCAGCCCCTCCCGGGCCCCCGGCCCCCCACCACAGCTACGGGGCCCCGCTCCCCTCCTAGAACCAGGAGAGAACCCAGGAGTCCTGGCTCCCAGCCCCCCCGCTCTAACCCACCAGCCCCGACTCCCCTCCCAGAGCCGGGGAGAGAGCCCAGGAGTCCTGGCTCCCAGGCCCGCCCCGCTCTCACCACTGGGACTCCCTCCCCTCCCCTTCCTAGAGCCGGGGAGAGAACCCAGGAGTCCTGGGTCCTAGCCCCCCCCCGCTCTCACCACTGGGACTCCCTCCCCTCCCCTTCCTAGAGCCGGGGAGAGAACCCAGGAGTCCTGGGTCCTAGCCCCCCCCCGCTCTCACCACTGGGACTCCCTCCCCTCC